AAGAAAGCCTCGTCTACCTCATCCTTCTGATCTGGTGGTCTATAGCACATGCCCACCATGACATCACCCTTGTTGCTCTCGCCTCTAAACTTAACGCATAGACTCTCAACAGGCTTTTTCTCCAGTTTCAAACTGGAGCTCTGAGCAATCATACTGTTCTCTTACGTACAGTGAAACTCCTCCACCTTTCCTCCTGTACCTGTCCTTCCTAAACAGTTTATACGCATCCATGACAGTGCTCCAGTCATGTGAACTGCCCGACCAAGTTTCTGTTGTTCCAATCACTTCATAGATCCTTGATTGTGCCAGGACTTCCAATTCTTCCTGCTTGTTTCCCAGGCTTCTTGCGTTCGTGTACATGCACCTAAGAAAACTAGCTGATTGCCCTACTTTTTCAGTATGAATCAGGAGGCTTCCCATCTTGAATGGGACTGAGGGGGGGGTTAATGGTAGAGGTGCAGTTTCCCATCCTTACTCTTTGGGTGCATCCCTCCAAAAAGTACTCAAGGCTTTATAGCTCATTCCCCTGGAATCCTGCCACCACTCTCAGGTGAGATAGCAGTATTTTATGGCTGACAGTGTTGAATCCTACACAGGAGGAGGATGAGAATGGATGTGTGCCCTCCATTCAACAACGCCAGGAGATCACTCATTCCTCTCTTCCTCTGGCCAGTGGTGTCAGAAGACCAAGGAGATCTGTATGGGTGATTGGGGGCTAGTGTGTCAATCATAGAATCATAGAATATCAGGGTTAGAAGGGACCTCAGGAGGTCATCTAGTCCAACCCCCTGCCCAAAGCAGGACCAATCCCCAACTAAATCACCCCAGCCAGGGCTTTGTCAAGCCTGACCTTAAAAATTCCTAAGGAAGGAGATTCCACCACCTCCCTAGGTAACGCATTCCAGTGTTTCACCACCCTCCTAGTGAAAACGTTTTTCCTAATATCCAACCTAAACCTCCCCCACTGCAACTTGAGACCATTACTCCTTGTTCTGTCATCAGCTACCACTTAGAACAGTCTAGATCCATCCTCTTTGGAACCCCCTTTCAGGTAGTTGAAAGCAGCTATCAAATCCCCCCTCATTCTTCTCTTCTGCAGACTAAACAATCCCAGTTCCCTCAGCCTCTCCTCATAAGTCATGTGTTCCAGTCCCCTAATCATTTTTGTTGCCCTCTGCTGGACTCTTTCCAATTTTTCCACATCCTTCTTGTAGTGTGGGGCCCAAAACTGGACACAGTACTCCAGATGAGGCCTCACCAATGTCGAATAGAGGGGTACGATCATATCCCTTGATCTGCTGGCAATGCCCCTACATATACATCCCAAAATGCCATTGGCCTTCTTGGCAACAAGGGCACACTGTTGACTGATGTCCAGCTTCTCGTCCACTGTACCCCCTAGGTCCTTTTCTGCAGAACTGCTGCCGAGCCATTCGGTCCCTAGTCTGTAGCGGTGCATGGGATTCTTCTGTCCTAAGTGCAGGACTCTGCACTTGTCCTTGTCCTTGTTGAACCTCATCAGATTTCTATTGGCCCAATCCTCTAATTTGTGTAGGTCCCTCAGTATCCAATCTCTACCCTCCAGTGTATCTACCTCTCCTCCCAGTTTAGTGTCATCTGCAAACTTGCTGAGGGTGCAAATCCACACCATCCTCCAGATCATTAAGGAAGATATTGATCAAAACCGGCCCGAGGACCGACCCTTGGGGCACTCCACTTGATACCGGCAGCCAATTACACATGGAGCCATTGATGACTACCCATTGAGCCCGACAATCTAGCCAACTTTCTATCCACCTTATAGTCCATTCATCTAGCCCATACTTCTTTAACTTGCTGGCAAGAATACTGTGGGAGACCGTGTCAAAAGCTTTGCTAAAGTCAAGCAACACGTCCACCGCTTTCCCCTCATCCACAGAGCCAGTTATCTCGTCATAGAAGGCAATTAGATTAGTCAGGCATGACTTGCCCTTCGTGAATCCATGCTGACTGTTCCTGATCACCTTCCTCTCCTCTAAGTGCTTCAGAATTGATTCCTTGAGGACCTGTTCCATGATTTTTCCGGGGACTGAGGTGAGGCTGACTGGCCTGTAGTTCCCAGGATCCTCCTCCTTCCCCTTTTTTTAAAGGGGGGTTAGAGTATGATGATAGTGATAGGCTGAGGATCTAGTGTCTTTTTCTGTAATTAGAGTGCTGCTGTCCTTCAGCATGTTTTGGAATTTGATGGGGCCCATGAGCCTTTGTGGATGATCCAGTACCATGGGGTGTTCTAGTTGTGTGGGAGTGGGGAGAGTGCTGACCATTACCTTAATAAGGTGATGGTCTGGGTTGGGATTTGGTTCTAAGACAGTGGCTGGGTTGCTAATATCGTCTAGGTTGACGTTCATCCAAAGACCAGGTCCAGTGTATGATTAGCTATGTGAGTTCAACCAGAGATGACCTATGAGAATCCTAAGGATGCAAGCAAGGAAATAGTTGTTGAAGTTTCACAAGATGATGAGTCAGATATTATTTCACCACTACTGCTGGCAAGGCCTTAGTCATCTGCTTTACAAGCCCTTTAGTCCTTGGAGGTCAGTAAATGAGCAAGAAAGAAACATAGGTTTAGCTCTGTTTTCTATTGTTAGATGAGTGAATTAGAACGACTTTACATAAGAATGGCCATGCTGGGTCAGATCAATGGTCCATCTAGCCCCGGGCTGCCCGAGCTCCCCCAGCCCCGGAGTGGCAGGTGGCCGGGCAGCGCAGCTGCTGAGCTCCCAGCCCCGGGCGGCACAGTCCCAGCCCCGGGGGCCAGATGGGTGGTGTGGCCCCAGCCAGCCTGGGCCATGGAAGAGCAACTGCAGGAGGGAGTCTGGGGGTGGAGTGTGGGTGGGGCCATGCCAGGCTGTTTGGGGAGGCTCAGCCTACCCCAGCCTATGATACCCACCGCCAATATGTTCTCGGTTTAGTAACACTAACTGGTCCCATTAACCGTACAAGTCTTGGTTTTGTGATTAAAAAGTCAGCAAAGCATATTTCAAAAGGAAGTATACAGGGCGTACTAAGTAAGTTCCCTCTGATTCTAGAGGTATTACTGCAACAACTGATGTTTCTCATTTCAAGTGGAGGGAGTGTTTCTGAAAACTTTACTCTTCCTAAAACTGGAAGGAACTTTTTAAGGACTACATGTAGTCTGGCAAGTAGAATATGGAAGAATGCCATTGTGGCTGCTTCCTTACCAAAATATATATGCAACAAAGAGAAGAGCAAAGCAATCTGGGATTGCATAAAGATTTTCAGAGTGACAAGAAATCATGTGAATATTTATTTTGTATTTATTTGATTGGGGGAAAGGCCTCTTGCAGTTGTCAGAATGAGTGTTAAGTTTTAATAATGTAACCTCTTTATTTCGTCTGGTACAATCTGTAGCCTGCTTCTTTATTCAGAATTTTAAATTTAATGAGGAAAAAGAGATACTGTAGTATTTAATTTCCATGAAAGGATGAAGATTGCAAGAGGGAATTATTTACAACAGTGAACATGCTGTGGCTGTTATTACTCTGATTTCAGGAAAAGGAGCAGATTGCTGCTGGAGATATAAGAAAACACTTAACTAATTCTTTTTGTTAGTCTTCTAAAGAGAATACTCCAGTTTCAGGTGTGTGAAGTCCTGAATTTTGAAATGGGAATACTTGAGATTTAAAGAACACTAATAAACTCTTAAGGAGACAGTAGTTTCAAAAGAGGAGTAAGGGAAATAAAAGATTTCATCTGATAATATGAAGCACTTCATTTGAGGGGGAAAAAAGTTCTAAAAGTCAATGTAAAGAAAAATTCAGTTTTACTATATTATTCCTCTGATGGAATGTGAAATTACGTCTACTGTAGGTTATTCCACTTCTACCTGGATAAACTTTATATTTGATTTTAGAGTTAAACTGAAACAATAGGAGGTTCTCACATTTAGATTTTTTGCTGCCTTTTTCTTATTAGGCCTCTACAGTAAGTTCTTCAAGGTATGTGCTAATCTTCTTGGTTAAGACTATTTTTTTTATGCATATATGTTTTGAACTTTAATGTAATTGGCAAACAAATCTTGGTGGTTTTAAGCCTTTCCAGTCTTTGATGCTGATTGGATCAGAACGTTGCATTTAAAGAGACACTCCTCAACATAAAAGTGAAATTTTGTACAGAAACGATGTACAGCAGCCTGGCCAGCTCCTATGCCAACTGCTCCTCACCCAGCATAGGTGATGTGTCTGGGGCAGGATGGCACGTGCCTGCACTCTGCCAGTTTTCCACTGGCATGTGGTCCCTTGGGAATCATAGCCAGGTTGGTGTAAAGTGAGAGCAGGTCTTTGTCTGCTGTAATTTATGATTTATGCTGGGGCAGCTTGAGAATCAAGGAGCCATAACCAGCTGTTTGACTGCCTTCCCACTCTCCTTTGTCCAGTGGATCTAGCAGAGTAGACAATCAGGACCATTATTTTTGAACTGTCAGCATTTTGCTCTTTTATAGACTTCTGTTTTTCTATTTTCTCTTAGTACAAGGTGTTGCAAAAGTCAGTTTTGAGGAGATAGTTGGGTGAGTGTTGGCTATCAGCTCAGCAGGAATGACCAGGCCATTAGTGTTCCTGGAAACTGAAGCCAGTGCTGCATTGTGAATTCATCAACTGATGTTGGAAAAGCGCTAAGCCCTCTCCTGGCAGTCTGCTGCGTACTTCTCATGTTTTCCATGAAACGTTGTGGTGATACCCCAAGATTCCTCTTAGAACACACAGAGTAGCCCAAGTATAGAGAGAAGGTTTAAAGTATGTGAAATTTACTTTGATCTCATCCTGCAAGGTACTGAGAGTCTTAAATTGCTACTGAGTTGAAGGATTGCTTCATTATGTCTCCAGTGGCCTTGGTATATGAAAGTTTGCCATTTTTGTCATGTATTGCATTTTCAGAATTGGCTGTAATCATCGAATCCTCTAAAACTTGGTTTACATACATGTTTTTTAATGATATTTCAGCACACCAAGAAGACCGGCTCAGTCGGATCTCCCTGTTGGAGAGAGATCAGCTTCCCCATCCCTTAAACAGTCTGCCCAGACCCATGAAAGCACAAGAGAGATGCTGAGCCATGGACACGCCAGCCAACAATCAGATGGACCTAGGAGGATGCTCCAGGTGGACGCCAGAATTCAGAGATCAGGACGATCTCCCTCTGTATCACCAGATCGAGGCAGCACCCCTACCTCACCTTATTCTGTCCCACAAATCGCACCCCTTCCAAGCAGCACTCTCTGTCCGATATGCAAGACAACAGAACTCACTTCCTCTCCTAATCAGCCAAACTTCAACACTTGTACACAGTGTCACAACAAGGTCTGCAACCAGTGTGGATTCAACCCCAACCCCCATCTCACTGAGGTAATTGCTTCATTTATTTCAGTTTTTCAGCCTGAAATTTTTGGCTCCGGAGGTAGCTAGTAAGATGGCTCTAACCCCAGATCACCTTTGGTGTTTTTAGGAATCATGGGAAACAGTCAAGTTGGTGTTCTGAGGAAACATTATGTGCTGCCAAATAGTTCAAATTTCAGGCTGTCTTGCATGCTCTGAGCCTTGAGGTTGCATCCTCATCTTCCAGGTTCATGACAGATTAACATCCTTGTTCTTTAACAGTGATGCTGTTGGCTAATCAGTGGATGGTTGTAGTGATCTGAGGACTGTAGAGAAAGAATGGGAAGCGTTTATAAGGGAAAAGCTTAGACCTTCATGGAGGTACAGTTTCCATCTAGATTCTTCTTCACCACCACCCAGGTCATGGATTTCCTGACTCAGGTTAGTTCCACTTGCATAGATATGTCATAGGTGTGAAGGGCTATACCATATAGGGATCTTCATGAGGTGGTGACCGGTGGCAGAACAAGTATTTGAATGCTGAATATTTCAGATTCTGAGTGATACAGGTGATAGTTTTTGGCTGTGAATGCCTGACAGAATTGGAAGCAGATATTTTCTTCTGACTAGGAGGGAGATAAGTGAGAATAATCATTTGCAAGTTAATGTCTACTTGTAAAGTGTTTCACCAAAGGTGTCTGATGTGGGCTGTGTAAAATTGTAAGCATGAGATTCCCGGGGGCAGATTTGGCAGTGTTTGAAATAGCTGAGTGATGCAATGCTGAGGACATGCTGGTGTGTGGGACTCCTTGAAACACCTGGTCAGTCTTATTTATCTATGACTTTAATTATGGGTACATGTAAATTTGTAGCTGAAAGAACAAGGTAAATGTACTTTTGTAGCTATTCAGGAGATACAGAATTGAGATTATTAGTATCTATAAAATTTTCCCAGGTAATAGAAAATAATAAAATCTTATGATTTAAGGTAAAATGTTCAAAAGTGCTTATGTGAGTTAGGAACCCAAATACCTTTGAAAGCTATGGGGAGTTGGGCTCCTAAGTCACATAAGTAATTTTGAAAATTGTCCCCATAATTTCAGTGATCAGCCAGTGATTCCTGTGGATTCCCACTTCACTAACAGAAATTTTAGTTTCTAAATGTTGTTGCGTCATATAAGGCCTCATTGCTTTCAATATTTCTTCTTTGGAAAAGGAGAGGTTAGGAGGACTACTATCTCTTGCATAGAAAGTTATATGATACTTATGCCAGCTGCATGTTTCTTTATAGTAATTGGTTAGGCTCACAATAGAGGTCTTTCTACAGCATGGGGAAGTAGACAGATACCGGACGCAGTGTTGGTATGTAATACTCTTTTATAAATATAGAGAGAAGGGTAGCATAAAATCCCTCCTTGGCAGCTGTACTGAATCGCCTTACCTGTAAGGGGTTAAGTAGTTCAAATAACCTTGTTGGCACCTGTCAAGTTTCCTTCCCCACTCTGAACTCTGGGGTACAGATGTGGGGACCTGCATGAAAACCTCCTAAGCTTACTTTTACCAGCTTAGGTTAAAACTTCCCCAAGGTACAAACTATTTTACCTTTTGCCCTTGGACATTTGTCGCTGCCACCACCAAAAGTCTAACAGGTATATAATTGGGAAAGAGCTCGTTTGGAAATGTCTCTTCCCCCCAAAATACTCCCAAACCTTACACTTCCTTTCCTGGGGAAGGTTTGATAAAAATCCTCACCAATTTGCATAGGTGAACACAGACCCAAACCTTTGGATCTTAAGAACAAAGAAAAAGCAATCAGGTTCTTAAAAGAAGAATTTTAATTAAAGAAAAGATAAAAGAATCACCTCTGTAAAATCAGGATGGTAAATACCTTACAGGGTAATCAGATTCAAAACATAGAGAATCCCTCTAGGCAAAACCTTAAGTTACAAAAAGACACAAAACCAGGAATCTATATCCCATTCAGTACAGCTTATTTTCTCAGCCATTTAAAGACATCAGAATCTAATGCATATCTCGCTAGATTACTTACTAAGTTCTAAGACTCCATTCCTGTTCTGTCCCCGGTAAAAGCATCACACAGACAGAGAGAGCCTTTGTTTCTCTCCCCCCCGCCCCCAGCTTTTGAAAATATCTTGTCGCCTCATTGGTCATTTTGGTCAGGTGCCAGCGAGGTTATCCGAGCTTCTTAACCCTTTACAGGTGAAAGGGTTTTTCCTCTGGCCAGGAGGGATTTTAAAGGTGTTTACCCTTCCCTTTATATTTATGACACGCCTCCCCAAATCACAGATAGGGTGAAACGCTGGCTGTGATTTCTTCCTGGAGCTCTTGGAGAAAACAGAGTTAATAAGACACATGCATCTCTAAATATACTACCAAGTATATAAAGACTAACAATATTTTCCACATCTCAAGGATGATTTTAACCAGTTGATTCCGGGAAGCTTTCACGGGAGAGAGCATCAGCTACTTTGTTAGAAGCTCCTGAGATGTGTTGGATGTCGAAATCAAAATCTTGGAGAGCTAATCTCCACCGAAGAAGTTTTTTGTTATTTCCCGTGGCGGTATGAAGCCACTGTATGCAGCATGGTTGGTTTGCAGGTGGAAACGCCGTCCCCAAACATGTGGGCGTAGCTTTTCCAGAGCGTAGACAATGGTGTAACATTCTTTTTCACTGACTGACCAGTTGCTTTCCCTCTCAGACAGCTTCTTGCTGAGAAACACTACAGGGAGGAATTCTTGATCCGGTCCTTCCTGCATTAAAACTGCTCCCACACCAGCTCGGACGCATCTGTGGTTACTAGGAACGGTTTGTCAAAGTCTGGGGCCCTTAGCACAGGGTCAGACATGAGTGTCGCTTTAAGCTGGTTAAAGGTCTTCTGACACACTTCGGTCCACTGAATGGCATTTGGCTGTTTCTTTTTGGTTAGGTCTGTCAGTGGGGCGGCGATTTGGCTGTATTGCGGTACAAATCACCTGTAATATTCAGCCAAGCCTAAGAAGGATTGGACCTGTTTCTTTGACTTTGGGACAGGCCACTTTTGGATAGCATCCACTTTGGCCTGTAGGGGGTTGATAGTTCCTTGACTGACCCACCTGGTGTCCAAGGTAAATCACTCTGTTTAGGTCTATTTGACACTTTTAAGCCCTAACCGTTAGTCCTGCCTCCCTTATGCGCTCGAAGACTTTTTGTAGATGTTCCAGGTGTTCTGCCCAGGAATCCGAAAATATGGCCACATCCTCAAGGTAGGCGACTGCATATTCTCCTAATCCCGTTAGGAGACCATCTACAAGTCTTTGGAAGGTGGTGGGTGCATTCCGCAGCCCAAAAGGGAGTACATTAAATTCATACAGCCCGAGATGGGTGGTGAAGGCTGACCTTTCCTTGGCAGATTCATCCAGCGGTACCTGCCAGTATCCCTTGTTTAAGTCCAAGGTAGAGATGAACTGGGCCTGTCCCAGTTTCTCTAATAGTTCATCTGTGCATGGCATTGGATAGTTGTCTGGGCGAGTTACAGCATTTAGGTTACGGTAGTCCATGCAAAAACGTATTTCCCCATCTGGTTTGGGAACTAGAACCACTGGAGATGCGCATGCACCGCCAAAGGGGCGGATTACACCCATCTGTAGCATATCCTGGATCTCCCGTTCTATAGCAGTTTTAGCTTGAGGAGACACCCGGTAAGGTTGGACTTTAATTGGGTGAGCATTACCTGTGTCAATGGAGTGGTATGCCCGTTCAGTCAGTCCTGGGGTGGCTGAGAACATCAGCATGTAGCTAGGGCACAGCTCCTTGATCTGCTGTTGCTGCATAGGCCCAAGGGTCATGGAGAGGTTCACCTCTTCCACGCCACCAGCACTTTTCCCTTCATAGTAGACACCTTCAGGCCACTCGGCGTAGTCTCCTCCCTGGGCTGTAAACTGACAAACCTTTAATTCTCTGGAATAAAAGGACTTTAGAGAATTAATATGGTACACCTTAGGCTTTCAGTTGGAGGTGGGGAACGCAATGAGATAATTAACAGCTCCCAGGAGCTCTTGGACCGTGACTGGCCCTTCCCATGACTCTTCCATTTTATGGGCCTGGAGTGCCTTCAAGACCATGACCTGGTCCCCTACTTTGAAGGAACACTCTCTGGCATGTTTATCATACCAGGCTTTTTGCTCTTTTTGAGCATCCTGTACGTTTTCTTTCGCAAGGGCTAGAGAGGTTCGGAGGGTGTTTTGTAGGTTGATTACAAAGTCCAGAATGTTAGCTCCTGGAGAAGGTGTAAATCCCTCCCATTGCTGCTTCACCAACTGTAATGGCCCCTTAAGCTCGCGGCCATATACAAGTTCAAATGGTGAAAACCATAAACTGGGATGTGGTACAGCTCTGTAGGCAAAGAGCAACTGCTGCAACACTAGGTCCCAATCATTGGAGTGCTCATTTACGAATTTATGTATCATGGCCCCCAAAGTTCCATTAAACTTCTCCACCAGGCCATTTGTTTGATGGTGATAAGGAGTGGCAACCAAGTGATTTTACCCCATGAGCTTCCCAAAGGCTTTCCATAGTTCCTGCCAGGAAATTAGTTCCTGCATCTGTGAGGATGTCGGAGGGCCAACCTACCCTGGCAAAAATGTCTGCTAGTGCCTGGCACACACTTTTAGCCCTGGTGTTGCTCAGAGCTACTGCTTCTGGCCATTAGGTGGCAAAATCCATGAAAGTCAGTTTGTACTGCTTTCCTCTGGGTGTCTTTTTCGGAAAAGGACCCAGAATATCCACAGCTACTCACTGAAATGGAACTTCAATGATGGGGAGTGGCTGGAGAGGGGCTTTGACCTGGTCTTGGGGTTTTCCCACTCTATGGCATACCTCACAAGACCGGACATAGGTAGAAACATCCTTGCCCATTCCCTCCCAGTGGAATGACCTCTCCAAACGGTCTTTGGTCCTGTTCGCCCCAGCATGGCCATTAGAATGATCGTGGGCTAAGCTCAAGAGCTTGGCCCGATACTTAGTTGGAACT